TATATATATATATATATTTGTTTTACATATAATAACTGGAAAAAAAACCAAAAAAAAACTTACCACAAAATTAAGTTGGAGTAAAAAAAATAAATTACTGCTGATATGAAAGAGTAACAAATCAAGTTCTTTAAAAAATGCTTCTTTCAAAAGATTTGCTGTTCCTTCAACACAATACTTCAAGTCTGAACCTTAAGTGAAGAGGTTGAAAAAAAAAAGGCAGCAAGGAGTAACTCACAGACTTTAAATCAACAGACATTGTATCTCTGTATAATACCAAACACACAGCACATCATATGAAAAAAAAAACAACAAACAGATGCAAAAGCTAAATAAAAATTTTACATTCCAAAAGGGTGAAACAATTTCTTTTTTGTTAAAGCTCAGCTCAAAAACATTTTTATTCAGATTTATTATTTTTGATCTTATAAAATGTGAAATGAAAACAGTAGTGGAGAAATAGTGTTTTGTTTTTGCAATATTAACATGAATTGGAGGCTATAAGTAAACCATTAAGACCAACTATTATTCTCCCACGTTAAGCATCAATATTAATTATTATTCTAAACAAACAGTGAGATTCTAGTGACTCCTCTCTAGAAAAAATATATAGTAGTGACAAAGAAAAGGAAGGAAATAAATAATTTCGTGGGTCTTGTTCATACAAAAACCATAATAAAACAAAGTACAACATGTCTTTTTCCAAGTGTTTATATTTCCCCCAATACAATAAATCCAAGAAACAGATGCAGTTCAGGTTTATAATGAGGAGGCTAAAAAAAATAAAATCATAATAAAAAAAGATGTTCCCTAGAACATAGTTCAAACCAACACTTAACATAGGGACCAGTGATGTCTCCTAAAGAAACATATTTTCTAGAATAAATAGTACTGACCACTATGGTTTCTAGTGAACATACAAATATTTCTCAAAAAAGGGACTCGTGAGCTACTTGAATGTGTTTATGCAACGTATGATTTCTTGTGAAACTCTTCCCACAAAGTTCACAATTAAACATCTTTGTTTTTCGATGCTGATGGTAAATGTGGACTCGAAGTGATGGTTTGGAGACAAAAAACCTGTTACAAGTCTGACACTGGAAAGGTTTTGGGATTTTGGCACGAGTTCCTACTGTCAAAAATCTTCCAAAGTTTGCAGATTCAAATATGTAATCCAAATTATTTTCTAAAAGGGAGAAAACAAATCTTAAGTTAGAACAATAATTCATCCTTTCTACATCCAAATAATTTGGATTCAAAGTATTTTATAAGTAAAATTTAAACATACAAGTAAAAAAACTGAGGAAAATTGTAATTTGATGTGAAAAATTCATGGGACATATTCTGGATAATTAGTTAACGTAAGAATACAGATTTTAAAGATGTGTTATGCTATAAAACAATATTCTATAACTTTTTCATAGTTATAATGCTGACAAAGTACAATGTAAAAAGATTAAAAGCATACAAATCCTGTTGTAAATTTTGCTAATTCAGTTCGTAAAACTTTTCGTAACATTTTGCGACAAACAACTAAAGCTATTATCATAACTAGATCAACACTTTATTTTAAAAAACAGATATTAGATATTTCACACACGCTATTGTAGACAGAAAAATGATGGATGGAATCGTATGTTTTCACGGACACTGAAAAACATTTTATTCGCATAATCTCACATCATTCCTAGTATTGTTAAAGACTTTAATATGTTATCATGTTCTTTTTTTCTAGACCAATTACAAACATATTTGCCATAACAAGTTTCAATTCATTAAAATATACTCCTTATTTAAGGATGTCGACCATGCACACAATGATCAGGGTAGCTTTCTTCAGGCTATCAACAACACACCGTTTTCCAATACTTGCCACTTGTGTATCTATTATTTTTTTATAGTTATGTATTATTCATCTGGATTTTTCAATAAACAATGTATTGGCTGTGTCTACGATATTTCTACACTGCAGAAAAAATATAATTATATCATGTTTATATTATGCCTATATTGATAAATATTAGTTGCATTCATATCTAAGTATTCCTACACTGAAGATATGTTGATTATTAATGTGTGTTTAAATGTACAAACAGCCTACATTAGACTTAATATTTCAGTTTAACATTATTACCAATTGGGACACTTGATGAGTTAAATGTTCACCAATCAAAATTTAACTCTGATTATAAGCTATGTATGACAGCAACTGCATCTGTTTTACTTCTTTTATAAAAATTAATCTGGCACTAATTAGTTTAAGATGTACATAACAGTCCTTGAAAATGTAAAAATCTTTGTTAAGTATTAATTATTAGGTAGATACATCTGGTATGTTACAAGCAGCTTTCCAGAATTTTCTACAGAGATCATTGGACCAATGACCAAGTACTTTAAAACAGAAGTGCAGTGTCACTTCCATATAAAGTCAGACGCAAGTTAAACATGTTGTCCAAGTTTTAAACTATGAACTATTTATATACCTGTGTATACATGAGCTCAGATAGCTCTTTATGTGATACACATCTATGAAGAAAGTTATTGTAGCTGCTGCATGGAAGAGTGATTCCAACAGAAGCCCCGTTTTGGCCACAATGTTAGTGCTCGTACGTGATCATGAAAACTATATTACTGTGCACGTCAGTCTCACATTTCAGCAAAAGAGAAGGTTCAGTGGAATTTTCATTAAATGCTGTCAATATGAAGTGTGACCTTCTCCTCGAACTACCACTACCAGATATATAGTTATTTATATGTATATATGGGAAGAATTGCAGGTATACTTGATGGCTGTTATTACTCTTGAATTGAGTGTGAGCACAAACAACAAAAATTCAAATCTCTACAAGAGCATAGCCTTTCTACTGCTGTAGCAAACCTACAAAGACCTAAGAAACCTGGGCATACTGCTCATTAACATGCTAATTAAACTTGTCTTTGAGTCTGCAAATGTTTTCAATGTAATAAGTATAAGAAAATGGTGTCTATCGTAAAGGTGGTAAATAAGCCTACAGATGTTGCCTTGTGTTTTAACAAATCAATAAGTAAGTAAATGCTACAGTTAAGTTCCAAACACTGTAGAGAATATCATTATTACAGTGAGAAATTTAAAAAAAATTTAAAGATGGCAGATGTTCCTTCTTTTCTTAGTATGTTTACTTGTATACAGAAAAACATATCCAAAAAGACATCAATTTTTTCTTCCACATTCACTTTTAATTATGTGTAGGGTGAAAAAAAAATTCCATTTTTCTTATCACCCTTGTTTCCACTTGAATACTCACCATACAGTTCAATAGTATGCAGTTAATGGACAGTGGTCATGAACACAAACGTCCTACAACTTACTGTATAACCTACAACATAAATGCATTACTACTACAACATGGTTAACATCTTTAAACATTCTTTAACATTAATTTCTCTCACACACTTGAAACATGGTAGGTGTGTTTAATAGAATCCTAGAACTCAAACCAGTAGTCAACTAATTCATCTTGAGATACATTACAGTTCATTTGCAAAATAATTCTCAACTGTTTCTAAGTTCTAGTAAGCTTGCATTGAGAAAATAATAGCGATGAAATTCTACCAGGAGTTTTATAAGAAGAACATGTTTAGGAAAAAATCATTTCAGTATTCTAGCAATAAAGACACAATAATAAAGGATAAAATGTTTTGGCAATTCTACATTAAAATCCACAGTTCATTTGCTTGATTGTTTGTTGAATTTCTCGCAAAGCTAATCAAGGGCTACCTACATTTACCATCCCTAATTTTGAAGTGTTAGACTAGAGGGAAGACACCCACTGTCAACTGTTGCATCTGTTTACCAACAAATAATAGGATTGACTGCCACATTATAATGATCCCACAGTCAAAAAGAGTAAACATGTTCAGTAACAGGATTTGAATATAGGTCGCACAGATTGCAAATTGAGAGAACTAACAACCATCTAAAGATGAAAACATAATATTTCAGTCTGAAGATCATGCTATTATAAATAACACCACACATATACGTAAATACTTTTTTGTCGAGTTTTTTTTTCAAGTTATTGACACTGTGTTAGAAAACTATCACCAAGCAACTGGAAAAGGTGAAATAACGGAGTAAAAATTCTTAACTAAAGTATTCTTATACTATACATCAGTAATGTTGCATTGGAGGGTATATTTTGTTCGTATGTTATCTTGGATCAGAGGGTACGTACTGTTCATAACTCATTTTGGATTATACGGTATATTTTGTTCACTGAACAAATACTTGTATTTTAATTTTTGGTCATGATTTCATGTTGAAACAGAATCAGGTAAATAAAAGTTGATTACATCCATCGATTGTCGTAAAAGTTACTAGTAATTTATTTCAATCATTTTCAACATAGTAATTTCTTCTGAATGATTTTTTCTAAACAACCAGTTCCTGACCATCAAATCTGTAGAAGTGATAACCATAGTTTCAATATTAAATCACACAGATATCTCCTTTTCATCACACTCATGTCAATTAAAAAACAATTTATTGCTTTGAATTCACTACTGCTGTGTACTTAAGTCATCTGAGTGTTCATACAAGTCAACATCCAACATGTTACACTGTATGCCTTTCAAAATTTTATACAATCAGTTGAAAGCGTAATCAAGTTTTTCTTAACATTGTATATTACTCATTTCAAATATAACTGAAAAATGTGGTAGTTTGAGGACTAGATGTTATTAAAACAGTTAAAAAAAAGAATAAAAACGTTAGATTCCCAATTAACATACCGTTGTTTCAATTACAAGTTTAATGAACTTGAAAATATATAAATGTTGACTACTACAAGAATAAGCAAATATCCTGACTTGAGCAAATTATACTTTTTTTAAACAAACTTAAAAACGTTTGTTGCATAAAATTGTAAGTCTAAATGAGAATATGATCATGTGGCCAATTATCCTGTACTTCTTAAACCAATGTATGCACGATCATATATAAATAGAAGATGCATTATTGTTACATTGTTAAAAATAAACATTATTGTACAGGATCTTCTTCACCTTTATCACAAAAATTGAGATTAATTTTTCTACCTCCGTTTTCACACATCTGTCTGGAAAAAGCTTAACTAACTTCCCTGTACTTCAAGTCAATTATGTTGTACTGTACTGATCAAAGACTTGGCCCTTTTTTCGTACTTTTTTGTACCAAACTTATTCAAACTTTCAACTGGGAAGTCATCTGATAAATGGATAGAAGTTTAACAACAATAAAAGTTAAGTAGTTTACGTGCTGCAGAAACTAAGGACCATCATCTGAACAAAGTAATGTACACAAGTTCATGTAGAAAAACAAAACAGAATGCCTGTATATGTTAATTTTAGACATACTACTGATGACAAATCTTAGTGCAGGATAAATTACACATGGAGACTTCTGATGTGCTTTAGTCGTTGGGATCTCCAGCGGAAGGTGGCACTGCAGTATTCGCATGTTAAAGTATTTTCCGTGTGAAGATTCAGGTGCTGTTTCAACAGTCGTTTTTCTTTGAATTTTTTGGGGCAGTAATTGCATGAAAAATACGATACATCTATCATACACATGTTGGATTCACTTCTCCCAAAAATAACCTCCTTTATACCTTCTTCTTCCTGATGAGGTTTTACTGAAACAAAACCATGGTGTCATTACGAAGATCATCTGTTTACAAACTGAACATAAAAATTAAATAATACAACCACTATAAAACAGAGAATCACATACATCAGAATACTACAGTTTTAGGATCACACCTTGTGGAAGAGACATTAACTTAAATCATACATAAATAGGAAACATAGTAACAATTATCATTAAAACATATGGGAAAAATAAAACTAACAGTTTCAAAATCTAATAACAAGTAACTCGTCTCATTATTTCTCAAGTTATGTTATTACATACTAAACATATACTCTGTAAGCATTCTTCATTTAAGGTGCATCTCTTTATGTAGAACTCACACAAAGGCTGAACACAGCGAGTTACAACTCACTAAACAATGAAAACAAAATAAGATGCACGTGAAAAAAATAGGATCTAAATTATTTTTCGTAGAATTCATGCCGACTAATCAAGTCTTTTCTATGTTCTAAATGTACATAGATATTCAAGCAGAAAAAGTTGGCTTCAACTTGTGTATCCTAAAACTAGGTTTTACAATTCAACCAGATTATTTGCAGTTCTTCATGTAGTTGCTTATCATTTTTACACTTACCGTATCGTTATTATTAAAGATTAGTGGGACTCGAGTACCAAGATTTTGGTGCAATGTTTTATTATTAACTCGAAGATAAATGTTAAGTGAGATTGTGTAAGTGATATCCACACAAGCAAGCAGTACAACTATCGAATTTTATTAGCTTGTATAACTTCCATATACAGGTTTAACAACTAGTTAACAATATTAACCAAGCTCCTAAGCACTGACAACATTATCCCTCGGTTCATTATTTCAAAATGAGTTCTTTACTTTGTATTTTCAGTAAAAGTTTTACTATATAGACACAAAACAGCAAATTCTAGATGTGTCATATATAACAATTTTCCTGCCTGGATGAAGAATAGCTTTTATTTATTATACACTGAGACATAATTCTATTTGTATATCATACTAATTAGTATCATAATCCAGTATTCACAAAACTGCATAGACAAACAAAATATACACACAAAAATTATCTCTGTTAAATTACGACAATTTCTTTCTCGGTTGTTTTGGGATTCGTAACCTTTTTTACTTCTCCTAAATTTGTTTGTTTTGAACCAGAAAGCTCGGCCCTGGCATTTTAACTTATTTAAACTATGCAATATGAAAAACAGTTGAATGTTTCTTAAACACAACACCAGAAATTAGAAACTTTCGAAAGAAAAACAAGACCATAATTCTATACTTATTGATCAGTATTTTATTTTATTTCCAGAGCAACCTTATTTGGTAGATTGAGTGATCTTAGAACCAGTAATAACCACTAAAGACATACCTAGTCTCACCCTTCAAAGACAAGCAGATTTTGATTACTAGGAATGAGACACCTTCGGAGATTTTAATATCAAACTTAAGCATAATTTGAGTATGTAACCAAAGAAAATTTTCTATTTTCTATGTTTGTTGAATGATTAAAACAATTTATGTTGTGGAATATAAACGAGTGTAAAATATACAATATGAAAACTTCAGCCAAATTGCATAACCTGCAGTAATAAAGTAATTAACATGTGGGAAGGGTAAAGTGTATCTTAGTAAGAGAGTATTTCCAGGATACAACCCACACAGCAGAAGAGGGATAGAAAGAAATAAAACATACACATATTTATAAACATTAAGACCAGATATATGTTAAAAAACATCCCATGTCTGAAACTACCATTCACAATTTTCTGCTGTGAGGGTCCTATTTTCACAAAAACCTTACTAAGATACAATCTATTCTTCCAGAATTGTAGTTTGCACCTTTAGTTTTATTTATCTGCCTTTTTTAACCTGATGAGTTTCTTTGAAATATCCTCTAAGGTTAACAAGAGATATAATAAAACTGTTGCATGTCTTTATAGGTATGTAATGAATCGTCTTGTCAAAACTAAATTTGTTTACATCGTATTCAGAATGTGAGGTACGTAAGGAGCTGATACACTAAGTTCAACTTAAATCTATTTTACAAAAACTAGTACCAACAAAACTTTAGAATAATGTGTATCACCACGATAAACAATTACCCACTGTAAGGAAGAGATGACGCTGTATAAAAGATATACAAAAAAGCTGTTAACAATGCTACAGACATTAAAAACATAACATTCAATGTATCCATTCCCAACTCGGTCATACAGAACTCTTTTAAGCACAAGTAGATGAAAATATGACAGCTCAATAAAGTTTCCTCTCAAATCATTATATATTTTCTTTTAGTCATATGACTCAAGTTTCAAAAACATTTGGTGAAACATGATAATTGAATTACTAACATTGTATTTGTTATTGGGTTGAGTTACATTATTAATAAAGAGATTGAAAAAAAATTAAAAATTGTGCGCATGTTACGCAATAAGTTTTTCCCCGCAGGCTAAAATTGGCACACCATATACACTTTGTTTGATATTTGTCTTGGCTGGATGTAACGGCAGGAGTCCTTCACAAAAAGCTCTTTGCTTAATTTGCTGGTTTTTCTTATTTATCTGACAGCGGTCTCTTGAGACAACTGAGTATTGGAGAGACCAGATGTAAGTGAACTAGAACCGTGTATGCTGTTTTATTGCCTCATCCATAACAACTAATCAGGTGACACACGTCTGCACAAATTTTGGTTACCCATGCATTTATGGTACACATTTTTTAAAACCCCAATAAAAAAACTGTAATAAAAGTAATTATTGTAATCTGAATGCAATTACAATGAATAATTTAAAAAAAAATTTTTCTTCTTCTATAATCTGGTAATGGCACTACTCACAATAATAAAAGAACATAGTACAAAATATAACATACTTATCATTTGCAAACAGTCAGTGTAAATCATTAATACTTCTATTACAAATTCAAACAATAATTAAATAAAATCCTTGCATATTTTAATATAATTATATCACAAGTATTCCCCTTGTATACTCTGTTTAGCAAGAAAATTTATTTAGTGTACATATTAAAGATTTTTTTGGGGAAAGTATAAACCCTTGTGCACTCCTTAAGAAATTCTAAAAGCTTCTTTTCCTTTTAACACTACCCATAGGTAACATTTAGTGAAAGAGCTACTGAATAATGAGACAACTAGCTGGTCAGTTAAAGAGAAGAGCTTTTATCAATTGTTGATATATATATTTAGCTCATAGTTTCAATGAGAGATTTCACTGTATAAATAGTGGTGTTTTAAGTTTTGGCATCATACGTATGACAGTATGACTGAGCTCATGTGACATTATGTTGAGGCAGAAACTTATTATTAAGGTAATCATAAAAACATACAAACTTGTGAGGTAGTTTGAGTTGTCAAAAAAGTCCTTTATTAGCAAGTGCTAAATGGCATATCCCAAAAATCTGAGCTGAGGAAATATAAGACAAGTTTACCACAAAAAAAACTAGTGCTCAAGGTGGGGCTGTTCATGACCCTGAAAAAAGACCTGAAGACAGGCCCCATTTGTAAGAGGGAAAGAATGAGGTATCTTGGGTTGTTCAAAAGTGTCCTATTATCAAGCACTAGGGATTAAAGCTTTAGTTCAGTTTGTAGAGAACTCATCTGGTGTGTGCGAGACATCTTGGGTTTGAATCTGAGCTGATGAAGTATAAAAATAGAAAAGTTTACCATAGAAAAAACTGCTAGTAATGCATTCTTTAGCAACTCAAACTACCACACTTAAACAAGAAAACAAAAGGAAACTACCACGGTGAAGCTTGTTGAAGTTGAGTACTAACAGACATTTTTCTAAATAAAATCATATACAAAAATGTACTAACAGCTGGAATTACATATTATGTTGTAATTATTTAGATACTGTGTTTGACAGAAAAAACTACCCACACATTTGTTAGTTAACCTTCTAAACCCCTGTCAATAAAAGCTATTTTCACTTAATAAGAGGAAGTCAATAACTGTAATGTGAACTAGGCAGTGTTAATTCCACCAAAGTTTATGTAATTATTACTGTGCATAAAGCCACTGATCTGATCTTGCTTCTGTATAAGCCAAAGTTTAACATGTTGTATAAGATTTAACTATATGAAACTAACCTTGTTTTATGGTCAGGTAACAAAAAACAACAACAAAAAAAAACAGCTCTATATTACATATAATTATATAGCAAAATAGTCATTGGTTTTTGTAGTGAAATCATCACAAACATAAATAAAATATCAACTAAACATAACTGATGGATCAAAATTTCACAAAATGCGAAAGCACTTTTAAAATATCCTTTTGAGAAATGTAACATTTTTGTCTCAATTCATTTGACCACTGTATTATTCAGTGAATAATCAAATAAAGTTATAATGTAAAAAAAAATAAAAGTAAGCAATAAAAAAAACAACTTTCTTACTTCGTTATATGTCTAGCATAGTTCTGAAAGAGTTCATTCACTTATACAAAGAATCTAAAATTGGAAGGTACCTCTGACAGAATGAACCACGTTTAAACATCTTTCTTAGCTCTATGAGTATGGTTGGAAGGTACCAATGATAAAATGAGCCACTTTAAATGTCTTGTTTAGCTCTACGAGTAAGGTTGAAAGGTACCTTTGATAAAATGAATCACCTTTTGAATATCTTGCTTAGCTCTACGAGTAAGGTTGAAAGGTACCTTTGATAAAATGAATCACCTTTTGAATATCTTGCTTAGCTCTACGAGTAAGGTTGAAAGATACCTTTGATAAAATGACTATGGATTTAGTAT